GCTCCCCCCGACATGAGGCGCTGTGTCCCGTCGGTCACTGGCCGGCTCCCCCCGACATGAGGCGCTGTGTCCCATCGGTCACTGGCCGGCTCCCCCCTGACATGATACGCTGTGTCCCATCGGTCACTGGGCGGCTCCCCCCACCCCCCACATGAGGTGCTGTGTCCTGTCAGTCACTAGCCGGCTCCCCCCTGACATGAGGCGCTATGTCCCATTGATCACTGGCCAGCTCCCCCCAACATGAGGTGCTGTGTCCCGTCAGTCACTGGCCGGCTCCCCCCTGACATGAGGCGCTGTGTCCCGTCGGTCACTGGCCGGCTCCCCCCTGACATGATGCGCTGTGTCCCGTTGGTCACTGGCTGGCTCCCCCCACCCCCCTGACATGAGGTACTGTGTCCCGTCGGTCACTGGCCAGCTCCCCCAACCCCACATGAGGCACTGTGTCCCATCAGTCACTGGCTGGCTCCCCGCTGACATGAGGTGCTGTGTCCCGTCAGTCAGTGGCCGGCCCCAGCCCACATGAGCAGCACAGCCCCTCAGGAGCCCCCATCCTCAGACCTGCGGGAGTGAACAGAGCCTCGTGTGTGCTTCTCGCCTCAGTGCCTGAGTGTCCCGTGCAGTGGTGAACCTGTAGGTAGGAAAACGTGAAATGTTCCTCTTCTTGTATAAAAAATCTCTCAAAAAATACCCCTGGCTCATAAGAAATGATTGTTTTCAAATTATAATGTCCTAGTTATTTTTCTTCTGAAAATGAGGTTTTAGAATATTTTCCTGTGTGATCACGAATTAGGGTACTCATGGTCGCATTAACACGCTACATGCTGCAGTGAGCTAACAAAATGACACAGACGGACACGTGCCGTGGGCGTGGGCAGGACTCCTCGTCTCGTCTCTCTGAGCCTCAGCTTTTGCATCTGCAAACAGGAGATGGTGTCACTTCCCGTTGGGGCCAGTGTGAAGATGAGTAGTAACGCGCACGCCCGTGTGTACGGAGGGCACGGAGCCCCTCTCGCGCCTGCAGAGCACAGCGAGTCCTCCGGCCAGCATGCCCTCGCGGCGAGCTCCTCCCAGACCTGCACAGGTCTCTGGCTCCTGGGGAGTGCCACGCTGTGTGCTTTCACTGGCAGTAAACTCGCTGTTGTGTCTCAGCGATGTTTAGAAAGTTGTGTGCCAACAGCAGCCAAATGAGAGGCTAAAGCCACACTGAGCACGTGTCTTGCTCTGCTGTTCTATTGCTTTCTAACGTATTTCTTATTTGTTTGCTAACCCCTTGAAATATCCTGGTATCTCCTTTAATCTGTCCTTTATTTTCTTTATTCCTGTTTTGGAACAGGTATAGGCAGAGTATCTTTCGGAGCTTTCTTAGGTAGGTAAAGCTATCATTTCTTTCTAAGTATAGAAATGTAGCCAAACAATATTGATAAAGAGACTTAACTAATAATAAACCTTCCTCTAACCCACTGCTCCTCATGCACTGTCTGATGTCACGGGAGCAGGTGGCATGTGCTTGATCTGCTGGTCGTGGGCCAAGGTGCAGCTGGCTTACCTGAGTGAGGGAGAGCCAGGGCATCCTGCCATCTGCTGAGGATTGCATGAGCCCCTAAAATGTGTTTGACTTTGCAGCTGTAGTGGCCGAGCTCCTGGAGAGCACTGTCAGGGTCTTCAGAAAATGAGTCAGCACAAGCTTCTGCCGTCCCCTTCGTGGCTCTGACCCCCCCCCCCCCCCGCAGAGAGCCAGTGTTTCCCTCCGTCATTTACTTCTGCGAAGCCTCTAACTCTGTTCCTTAGATCTGTTTCTCCTATCTTCTGGAACAGTCTAAAGGGCTTTCCACCCTCTGTAGACTCGAACTGTGTGCGTATCCCATTTTTCACAGGCTTCTTCCCATGAGGAATTTCAGTAGCCTGGTCCTCACCAGCACAACTTGGGTGTGACGAGCACACGGGTTCTTCTGCAAAGATTTGGGAGGTGAGGGGGTGAGGACATTCTGGATGGCCGGGCCGAGAGCCTTTAAGAGCAGACCGGTCTGAGGATTTGTGTTGCAAATATGGAACTGCCAACGGCCCTCTGTTGCCCCGAGCCCCCATAAAGTCAGCTCTACCTTAAAAAAAAAAGGCCAGCCTAGATCGCCGAACAAACTGCAGAGGTTAGGTGAGTTGGTGTCACTTCAGCTGGCACTTGGGTGCCTTGGAAAATTCTGCCACAGAACATTGTCTATCCATTTAGTGGTATTTGGTGATATCAGTCATCTGCAGCCTTTTTTTGGGGGGGGACAGAGTCTCACTCTTGTCACCCAGGCTGGAGTGCAATGGCATGATCTCAGCTCACTGCAACCTCTGCCTCCCGGGTTCAAACAATTCTCCTGCCTCTGCCTCCAGTAGCTGGGATTACAGATGCACACCACCACACCCAGCTAACGTGTGTGTGTGTGTGTGTGTGTGTGTGTGTGTGTGTGTGTGTGTGTTTAGTAGAGATGGGGTTTCACCATGTTGGCCAGGCTGGTCTCAAACTCCTGACCTCAAGTGATCCATCTGCCTCGACCTCCCCAAGTGCTGGCGTGAGCCACAGTGCCCGGCCTACAATCGCTATATAGTGCCGTGGTTTTGCTTTTTCCATTAAAAGAATGCATTATGCCTAGTATGCAGGGAAAACAATTCTACAGTCAAGAAAAACCTGAGGTTGAGCACTGGGCCTGGCCCTGTAAATGCACAGTGATGCCTTCATGCAAGGTGAAGGGGACCGCCCAGTAGCCTGGTCAGGTCTGTGGCTGTGGCCATGAGGGCTCAGGGCTTCTTGGTTGGCTCTTACCTTTTTCTCTGTTTCCTGCCAACAGATTTTACCTTTATCACCACCGTGACCTTCCTGTGGAAAGTGTCGGCCATCACCGTAGTCAGCTGCCTCCCGCTCTATGTCCTCAAGTACCTGAGGCGCAAGCTCTCTCCTCCCAGCTACTGCAAGTTGACCTCGTAAGGGGCTGCGCACCCCCAGCAGGCTGCCCCGGCACCGCTGCCCTTTCCAGTGATCACAGGGTTTGCCATTGCTACCAAGCGAGTGCCACAAGAAAGGGCATGCTGAGCAAGGCCAGCCCACGGGTGCTGGGACGGCCTCTCCCGCCTCTCAGTGTGGGACGTCACCCCTGCCAGGCGAGCCCAGGGCACAGATGCAGGGACGGCCTCTCCCGCCTCTCAGTGTGGGGCGTCACCCCTGCCAGGCGAGCCCAGGG